TTTCATTGTAGCTGAAGTCCGGGACAAACTGTTCCTTTTCACCTAAATACGAAAAGCATAATAATTTCTCTGAATACGAGACGATTCTGTTTTTTAGGGAACGGTTGGCAACTCTAATAATTAGTATGAACAAAATAAAGTTCAACATCATTAACTTCATAGCACCCACCCAGCTGTATAGAAACTCCGTCATGCTAGCTAGCACGCACTACGAAAAAGTCAGCATAACGAAAATAAACTCCAACTAAACTTGGTTCATATCTGACCCAGAGAGACTGCAGGTTATGCACGTCTTACCTGAAGTTCAGTTCACCTGACACTCGGACGGGCGGCCGCTTCGGGTCTCTCCTCCTCCTGCGTCCCCTTTCTCTCATCCACCTGCTGGCTTGCACCACTTGCTAATGTTATTGAATCTGTGGAAGCTCCGCGATAGCCACCGCACGAAGTAACGAATAACGAGCCTATCTAAATCCCAGTAACGAGTAACGCGTTCCTGATTTTGGCATAATAACTAGTTACCGTGCTCGTTACCACAATAATAACGTAGTTACTGTAACGCGTTACTTAATAACGCGTTAGTCCCAACACTGCTTATAAGAGGTTATATACGTTATAAATCACTAAGTTGACCTTGAAGACCTTGGTGAATGTAAGTTATCGTGCTTACAAACAGAATGATACGCTGACTCTTCCAAACACATGACCTTGGAGGACATAAAAACAGGAGGCCTGAATATGATAGCAAGGCCAAATAATGTATTTTTAGAGTAGTTAATGTATGTATTTCTATTTGATGCACTCTTGTTTGAATGCCTCACTGGACTTAACCATTTGCTCTGCTGTAATGAAACTTGTCTCAGCGGCTCCATCACGTCAGTAATTATTACCATTTCTATCCCTCCAAACCTCTGCTGCTGTCTCACCGCAAACGATCCGTCTTTAATCAGGAGAGAATTGCTGAGTCTCACGCGGTCTTCAGCATCAGCTGTCCTTGTTATCGGTGGTGCAGGAGAGCTGAGCTGGTCTGTTAATACTGGCGTTCGCTCAGGGTTGCTTTGCAGGCCACAGCTACATGAAGGCAGCCAAACCTTATTAAGAGCTGCCCGGCAGGCTGGCAGTACTCCAGTGTGTTTCAGACTAGTACATGTACTTTAAGAGGAAAAACACTTTGGTTTAGTTGCTGACGTCTCCGAGTGTGCTTCATAAATCTCTCTTCCCATTTCCCCTGCAGACTCTGAGAATGCCGCTGTGACGCTCTCCGCCCTGCTGGCCAGCCTCAACAGCTGCTGCAACCCCTGGATCTACATGATCTTCAGCGGTAACCTGCTGTCGGACTTCGCCCGCAGCCTGCCGTGCTGTTGCCACCTGCGAAACCGGTTCCACCACCAGGATTCGGACAGCAGCATCCGCCGGACCACGCTGCTGACCCGCCTGCAGGGTCAACGCCCTTCAGAGCCTGTCAGAGACCTCAACCACACCCCCAAAAGCTGCCCGCCAATCCCATCTGCATCCTGACCCCCAGAAACACTACCTTTGTGTGTTTATGTGTGTATGTGTGTGCGTGGTTAGTAAAACTGCAGCAGGTTTGCAGCAGTGAGGGAAGGTATGACATCATCTGAGGGTGCATTCACACCTACCCTCTGTTTTTTTGTTCCAATCCAGTGGGAAAGTTTGTTTGTCCAAAGGACATTTTTGGTGTTTGGCTTGTTTGGGTTCACACAGCTGAAGTTTAATAACTCATTTCCAGTCTGCGGGGTTGGAGACTGTGGGGATAGTAAATAAGTGCTGTACAGTACAGGCAGTGTGGATGTATTTCACTTTGAATGCACTATTGGGTGTGTTTCCTTGGAGAGCTGCTCTCATTGAAGTATTTAAAGCATGTTTACGAGATCATTTTTTAAGACTTGAGGTTAAGTCTGGTGTTACTCTGCAGTCCTTGAATTAATTCATGTACAAATCCCTTCGCTCTCAAAAAAAAAAGAAGTGTTTCTCCGTTTTTGCTTCATACTTTCTCGCTTCTGCTTTCTCCCTCTGAACATACAAAACTTTAAAAAAATATTTCCAGCTCTTAAAGCCTCAATAAAATCCTCTTTGTTGTGCTGTTTTCTCAATTTAACAATCAAACAGGAAAATAGTGCATTTTGGGGGGACTATTTTCAGTGGCGGATGAATTTGTCTACATTGGGATATCCATGACCTCACCTGATGTCATTCCGTATTTAATCAGTCAGTGCCTCTATCACAGTGTACTTAATGAAGCTATGAAGTTTAACCTTCATACTGTGAAATCATTGTTTTAAGAACGCTGGAGTGGAAAGGTACTTTATTAATAATTATTTAATTCTTTTAGTTATAAAATGTGGAAAGTTTGGGTTGAACTTTTTTTTTTTTCAAAATTAAAAAACCAACCAAACAAAAATACTTTCACAAAAAGAAATTAGGTTAGAAAATCAACTCATATTTACCTTTAAGGAGCTGGAATGACTCTGGGACGTGTATCCACACTACCCTGCTTAAAATTGTAAATCCTAATTAAAAGTGCTATTTGTTCAGTATAATTAACATTGCCTCTGTGAACATCTGTTTAATTATTAATTTTTATTATGATGCTCTGATGCTCGCTCATGCTTTGCTGGCTTCTGTAGCAGCTTTGAGCCTCTTTAGAGACTCATTCTCAGATGTGTTTGTAGATATTGAAGATATTTCATGAGTGTGATGTTTTCTGTCATCTCTGTATTGCTCTAATATGTATTGCACGTGTTGTAAAGGCAGATAAAAGCTGTTGCTTGTGTCGTCACGTGATGTTCGACTGCTTTCTGTCTGTAACAGGAGGGTTTTATAGGTGATCACTTACCTGCTTTTAGTAACTTTCACTAAGTACAAAGCAGTGAAGAGCTAAAGTAATGAAAAAATATTAGTTATAGATCTGTGGATTGATCCGGCCTGCATAAGTCAGTAATCTTTCATAAAGACTATTATGATCATCAGAGTTATGGGTTTCCTGCAGTGCCACCATAAAACTGGAATTTCAGGGGTTTTAAGTGAAATATCCAAACAATAAATTGAGGTTCTTCCTGATAGGATCAACCTTTTTCCTCTAGAACAGGGATCACAAATTCAGTGGCTTGCGTGAGAAACATGATATCATTTTAATTGATAAAGCTCAAGCATGTTTTGAGGCTCCATGAAGATTTTTGTCTTTGCTCAAAAATGTTTCTTGATGGTAACTGTTTCTGATCTAACCTCTTTAGATCTGGTTCTCTTTGTGTTCAGAGTCAACATGTTCTCCAGTGTGAACGTGTCAGGGTTGAGCTTAATAGTGAAATATTTATATTTTCTGGCCACTTGGAGCACCAAAAAGCCAACAGTGTGAGCTCAGTGTAGCTCAGACGTTTATATGTTTAACAAACAAATGCTTATCTCCACATATTACAGCACAGCATTATCATCCATTTCCAGCTGTTTTTGTCTCCGTCTGATAAACGTATCAGGATCAGATAAAGACTTTCCTAAAGTGTAACCGTGGTGACATCATCAGCTGGTTTGTGAGACTGCATTTTGAGTGTTTTTGCTAAAGAGTGGACCTGAGTGACCCGAGTGACATCATGAACTCACTGCTCGAGAGTTGACGTGGTTTAACCAGCAGACGAAAGGGAAAAATGAGCACTCCTTAACTGGTTGCTGGAGGTTATAGAAAATGGCAACTGGTCTGCAAACACTGGCTAACTAGCAGCTTACCAACAACATTGGCATTCAAATGGCGTGACTATTACTTTGAACAAACATTTACTATTTCCAGTTTGCACTGTCCTTTTTAAAGTTTTACTGTCACTCAGCTGGTAGTTGGTGAGTCTCTGCAGACATGTCACCATCTTCCATGCAAACTAGAGGCAACTGTGGCAGCCAAAGTGACTGCAAGGAGGTTTTTGACAACCAGCTGGGGAACACACACAGACAATGAGTGTCACAGACGGGTTGGTCACCTGTTTGCAAAACCTCTGTATTTGTAGATGTGGTTTTAATTTAAGAGAGCCGTCTGTGAAACTGTAAAGTGATTGGCTAACACTTTGCCCATCTGGCCAAACAGGAATTTGGCCTTTAGGTGAAAATTACAGTTGGGATCAGCAGGGAGTTCAGCAGGGATTTTAAGTCCAGGAGTGATCATCTGATTTTCAGGTTCAAGATGTCTCCTGCAGTGTTTACTGTTACTGTTAGCACAAGACAGTTCTTGTCTCACACGTGGCATGTAAACGTGAGCTGCTTTTCTCTTAACAGCTGCAGGTGTTCTAATGATGCTGCTTTTCTGAGGTTCAAACATTTCTGAGGTTCTCCATTTCTGACATTGCTCTGCAGTAACAATAGCAATTGTGATGGCGTGTTTTTGGTAGCTAAACAACAGACTGGTGCATGAATGGGTTTAACAGGAGATGGATATCGTTACTCTTGCATAAGGCCGAGATGCAGCAGGTGCAGCGGCCACTCACCAGATTTAAATGACTAAATTTATCAGCTCATGCCCGACAGCTGCCCAAGGACACTTCAGAAAATTACATGGGAATATTAAACTTCAGACCTTTTTTTTCTCTGTGCAATATCTGGGCATAAGTATGCCTCTCATAAAAACACTTCAACAGGATTTTTCCTTGTTTTTTTACCTCACGCAGGGAAACAGGAGTAATTGGAAGCAGGTTGGCTGCATGACATGCAACAGATGTCTGAAATTGAAAACAAATAAAAAGGTTTCAGCGCTTCAATCAAAGAGTTCATCCTGTGATTTTTGATTCATTCCTTGCAGGAAAAGTGAGAGCCTCCAGGCTGAAGTGAACCCCTGAGAGGTGGCAATGAAAGGAACTATAATTTCCTGCCTGAGCCAGCTTGATTAGTTTGAAAGCACCTACAAACCAGAACTTCAAAAGGTTCTTTGTGTACATGCTTAACACTCTTGTTCCAGGATCACATCACCCCCACTGACCTCTTAGAGATGTGTTTTTGTCTGATTTCTGCCGTGTAAACAGACACACAGAGCCAGTGCATAAAGGTGGATCTCAGATGAAAATTCAGACTGACTCTCATAACTCAGGACAGCTGAGGGGAAACAGGAATGCAAAAAATGCTTATCTTTACGCACCAGGGCCTCATATTTCAACCCAGGCTTGAGCCTGCAAATGTAAGGCAGCTCAGAGGCTTCATAGGAATCATATCTATGAAAACAAATCATAAAAAAGAAACACAGAGGGCAGACAGACCTATATCAGCAGCACTCGTTTTCCTAATTTGGTCAGTTGTCACCTGCAATCTAACCACAAAAGACATTTGATTTCATTTTAAAAATGTTCTCCAAGAAACTCTGGTAATTTATTCAAGTGAAGACTAAGTTTTTACTTATTTTCTATAAGCTGTTCTAACAGTGGATGTTCATATTACCCATGGCCAAAGTTTCTAATATTGAGGTGATTGTGTGTGAGAGTAATAGCTTTGAGACAAATGCGTTTTTACATAGTTTTTTTCTACTCCTTGTCTGTCTGATGTCATAGAGAGGGCACGTCCCTAATACAGTCATCTCATTCATAGGCTGTATCCCAATTCAGGGTCTGCAGCCTTAAAGTACACAGCCTCAACGATCCTCAAGGGCCGCGTACTCAAAGACCGCTGAGGCCGGAAGTGCGAGGCTTGTGAAATGAGACGGTCTAGCCTCCGTTGCACTGCCCAGGTTGCCTAGCAACCATGATACTAACAGCTGGATACAGCATTGTTTGACAGAAATGAAGGAGAAAATCTTTTGTTCATTTGTTTGTTTGTTTCTACATGAGCTTTGATCATTCTCTGTAAGATTAAGCTCAGCTATTGAACGGCGTATATTTTAAAGTAAAGGCTTTAAAACCAAGTTAGTACAAACGTCACTAATGTCACATAACTTTGCCGACATGTGGCCAACAGTGATGTTTTAATGTTCTTCGTTATTAAACATTTGCACATAAATAAGTGACATAATATTCAGTACTTACTTAAAGTTTACCCTCGCCCGCCGTTTTTTTCGGCAAAATTATCCACACCCACCGCCGCGCTATGCATTCTGGGATATGTTGGGCCACGAAGTCTACACTGCCACAGCCTTAAAATTCAGGGAATTGAAGGACGCATTTCAGGGTCGCATTTCGAGCAGCCTTCGAATTGGGACAGCCTTCGGCGCGCCGCTGTGACGTAATCGGCCTTGAAATGGGTACTTTAAGGTTGCAGACCCTGGATTGGGATACAGCCACAGACTCCCCACCTACCAGCTCTTTAAACTTTCTCTCTTTGTGGAGCAGCCAACGAGACGAACGTTTGGGGAGGAGCTTAACCTGGGCACTGACATCAAGTATAAGGTAAAAAAGTATTATTTGTAACTGTGGATCACACAAAGCTGCTCTAGTACAGTCCAAGAATAAAATCTAGAGCTGGAAACAAGTTTCCAGAGACCACTCGATATCAAAGACAGCAGCTTATAGCAGTTGACATCAAACTGCATTCTGCGCATCAACAAATGATGTTCAATTCCTTCTAATAATCTCTCTTTATTGAAAAGAAATTAAGGAGCCATATAAAGCTGCATTCGTGCAATTTTCTGAGAAGGAGAAGTTTCTGACTTTAGTTGTTTATTTCTCGACCTCTTAGCTGTATTTGGTGACCCTATTGAGGGACCTGACCCCTATGTTGTGAAGCATTGTGTATAAACTAATATTGAACATTAACAGAATTAATACTGATGTATTAACAGCCTCATATAGTCACATAAATGCATTTGTTATAAATTCATGAAGCGTTTTACAATGAATGCTTGCAGAGCAGTATTTGCAAAGCGGGCAGTAATTGTATATAAAACACTCAAACTGCTTGCTGCACTTTAAATCGTAACCACTGTGACAGGGTAAAGGGTTTGTTCACATGGTTACTGTAATTTCCTGTTCACTCTGAAGGCATTTCTACTGAGAATCAATCACTTTGTCTGTGGAGGACGCCATTTATGAAAGAGTTGAATGCGGGAAATCAGAGAAAGGAAGTGTATTATTAAAGGAAGGAAGCAAAGGTGAATGTGGCAAAGCAAGGCCGGTTTAAAAAAAAAAGGAAGAAAGAAAAAAAGAAGCTGCTTTCAGCATTAAAGACATTGGGCGAGGCTACATCCTGTGGTGGTATCTTTGCACAGATCACCCTGACTCCATTTCCTTGAACTGTGTTTAGTACGTGTGTCCATTTCCTACACACTCTTCCCCAGAGATCTTTTTTTTTTTTTTTTACAGATTTTTCTTCTTCTGACAGAATTTCTGTTCCTGAAGAAAACTCAGAAAATCCCATCAGTG